TGATCGCTTTCGTTCGAACGAACGTTCGTTTTCCCAATATAAACACATGCTTACCGATCGCCGCGAGAATCTCACAGAGCAGCACACAAAAGAACTCCTTATGTTAAAATTTAATGGGAACATCGAGGGGCGCCTACAATGTCAGAGGTAAGTAAATAGTTAATAGTATGCTTTAAGTTTTTTTTGAAAGTCGAAAAATTGCCAAATTTAAAACGCGGAGAAACGCGGAATTTTGGATATGTAGCGGAAAATTTTGGACTTTAATATAAATACAGTCAATGACCAGTGCCGGATTAACCATTAAGCAGACTATGGTTCGTAAGCACGTGCTTAGGGCACCAGGGCCAAAGGGGGCACCACAAAGTTGGGAAAAGGGTGAAAAGAAAAAAAACGAATAAAGATTTGTACTTCCCAGGTGTACCACAAGAGGCCCCCAACAATACAATACAATACATGAGGCCCCTAATGCCACCCAACAAGGTGCTAATTCCCAATTATCAGAAAGTGAAAGGTACTCAAAGACTTGTCAGACACTCATTGATGCTTATCCAGATGACATTAACAACACTTTGTCTACAGAGCTTCAGCAGTTCCATTCATATGTTCTTCGTAAGTTTAAAACAACCAAGAAAATCTCTTTCACTCACATGGAACTTTACAACACAATTACAGAAGACAAACTAGAGAGTGCCTTTCCAAATGTTGAAATTGCCTTAACACGTTCAACGCTGCCTGGGTTAACAATGCACCTACCGCCCTGTGCTGAGATTTTCGCGTTTTTACCGCTTAGTCACCTATTACAAAAAATGTTTTTGGCAGGTTTAACTAGCTATAAAATTATTTATAATTAGTGGCTAGTATAATATAGATATAAACTTACTCTCAGACATCAAAACAACACCGGAATCTATCACCCGTGATCTATCAAATCAAACACAACTTTCAGACATAAAAACAACTTCACAACACACGGAAATGAACTAAAAACATTACCTCAGTCCCAAAAACTCCCAAAATAACGTTCCAAACAACAGTAATGTATTGTATAAATTATGTCATCTACTACTGGGGTACTACTAGTGACGCTATTGAATTGCTAAGCGTATAGCCCTTGCCATCTATAGGAGAACATAGTAAACGTTCCAAATAATTTTTTTTTTGTAATTTTTTTTTTTGCCACGAGTATACTCGTGTTTCGCGTTCGTGCGTTTTGCAGGTTCGAACGAGTATACTCGTGTTTCGCGTTGAACGTGTTAAGAATATTTTTAACATTATTGGTCACCAACTGCACAACAGAGAGGTCTTTCTCACAACTGAAACGTGTAAAAAAAACAAATAGATTGACTCGTA